GTCACGAGCACCATTAAGCACGCGACACGAACAGCTTCCGTTTATATTATTTTTAATTCGGCATTAAATCCATACACAGACATTGCAAAAACGGTCGGTCGGTCGTTTCGTTCGCTTACCAATCTCAACTGTACGGCAACTGCTTCAAAAAAATCCTTAATAGATAAGCCGAGAAAAAAGCGCACCGAGAGCTGCACACAAAAAATATAAAATAATGTTAAATGACATTATCGAATTAGTTGGTGTTTTTTGTTCGTCATCATTTGCGTCTTCATTCGTTTCGATTTTTCAGGAAGCGCGTTCGCTATTTTGTCGTGCTCGGAATATTTAGCATGCAGAAAAGCCATCGAATGAGAAAAAAAAGTCGAATAAGAAAGTAGCGAAACTGTCAGGGAATCGGGCAAAAAGAAAAGTATTTTTTAATCGTGATTGCGTCAAAAGTGAACTAAGTTGAAATTAATGGTGCTTGATTTTTGAATGAATAATGATAATTTAAATGTTACCATTATAATATCGCCCATGCAAATGCTGTAAACGAACCGGGTTCTGTAGAATCCCCTGAACCCGAGCGCGCGCTCACCACGAGCCACCCAGAGACTATTGTTGCCCAATAATGGCTTTTGGAATTTTCTTCTGCAACTTCTCGGCGAGGAATGTGATTTTTTCTACCAGATATGTCATTGTGTATAATTTGTCATATGCACACACACCGGCCGTCCCACCGTCATACACACACTTATAAAGGCCAGCAATAAAATGCCTTTTAAATAAGGATCGGGTGCATTCATTATATCCAGCAGGCATTTTATGTAAAGTTTTTGGCTTTGGCGCACTGTTAAATGCCGAGTGTGTTGTGCGCGTGCCAAAAAATTCCATATCGCAATGAACGCACGATCGCTCTCGAAGCAAAAATGTGCTCGAGAAATGCTCGTTTTTGATTGTTTGTAATCGGTTAGAATGATTAATCATTCAAGAGAAACTTTATATTTCGCAACATAATTTCTCAAAATGTGAATAGATGTCAAGCCTTTACAATGGTTTAATGCCTAAATCGCTGGTATTAACACGAAATTCGAGCGAGACTATGTTCAAGATGAATGAATATTATATATGTGAAAATGTGAACGAAAGACGAGGAAAAACCCAACGGCAAACGGAAGAGAAAGAGCTGCGGAAGCGACGAATGAAAAATCTTAAAACCATTACAACTACGACCCAAATTCATATCGGAGCCTTTTTTTTTGCATGGATTTCTTTAATTCGTATGATATGTGACAAAATAATTCATTGCTGGCAATGCATACCATACACATTTATGAGCCAGAGAATTGTGGATCATTCATTATTTAAATCTTGATTGAAACTCGATTTTAGAGGAATAGAGGAGGGGAGAGCGCGCGTGAGCGACAAAGAAAAATCTAAACCACATGAATAGAGCAACCACATGAATAGGCTTGATTGTCGTTCGGGATAATGAAATGACGCAATTCACTGAATTGAAATGATATGAAATCGAGTCTATAAAAGAAAGTAATGACTCAATCAAACTAATTCGAACGATAAACTTTGGTCAAACAATGAATTATATACATAGAGGGAAAAAAACCGAGCACGTTCAATGCTAGGTCATTTCGACAATAAAACTAAATGCTGAAATTATTCTTCTAATTTACTGGCGCACAGTAATCCATGGGTAACAACGAATCAAGCGTGTTGTTTTTTTTTTCTCGTTTGTTACGCACCGAATAAAAACCAAACAAATTACCTATTTATTTGGTATGAACTTTCTCGTCAAACGACGGCTGCCGACGATTTAAATCCTTGCCATTTATTATCCGATTCCATTTACGCTTTGCTCACTCATTCACACTCACTTTCTCGACTTGTTATCCCCACCTCCTCCGGTGTGAGTGTGAGTGTGTAATAAATGTGTCGGCTTTTGTGACAAACCGAATGTGCAAACGTTAACGCTGCAATCAATTCTTATCCGTTCTCATTGGCACACAATCAAAAGCTTCAATTTATTTAAATTGAATGAAAATATTGTCTCAAAATCACAGTGTGGTCTATTGATCTAAATTATTTGCCGAGCTTAGTCTCCGATTTCATTGACTGACGAACAAAAGGTAGCAATTGCTGTCCGAATCGAAATTAAGAAAGAGAGAGAGAGAAAATTCTCGGTTCAATTTCAAAGTAATCTATTTGGTCAACATTGAATTGCAGCATATCACATTCGTAATGGTTTATTGTCTTAAAAGATTTACGAATAATGTAATCTCTTTTTGATGTTGTCGACGATTTGATCGAGATTTATTTAGCTGAAGCTGGATACGTGAATGGCATGCCATACTGCAGTTAAACTAATAAATAAAATGAAAACGAAAAACATAAGAAAATATAAACGAATTTACAAAAATTCTGGAGCACATGCAATGGAGCATTCTATCATCAACGCGGCGCACTCGTCCAACAAACAGAGCGCACCAAGTCCAAGAACACGATATAGATGGCCAGCCACTGATTTGGAGAAAGAAAAATGGTTTTGCTTGATGTGTGATTTCGAAATAAAACTTGAATTGGACACGTCAATAGAATCAGTTAAGCAAAGAATGGATGAGGCGATAGAGAGAGAGAGAGAGAGAGAGAGAGAGAGAGAAAAACGCACACACACACACATATACAGCGGTAACGATCAACCGATACAATGAATGAAAGGGGGAGGTAGTGGGAGAGCGAAAGCGAGTGCGGCCACATGAAATCAGCTCTTTTATGTTTGTATGCAGTTCGTTTGTGTCATTTTTCATTGTTTGTATTTCTTCAATTGACATTTTTCTTTCTGACAATGGTCACAAACAACGATCGACACGACTAGAATGAGGGAATGGGAGTGAAAAAAATCATTCCGCGTCCATCGGGCAACAATAACAAATGGCAGCTAGCGAGTAATGGGAAAAAAGGGCAGCAGAGCACACAGAAAATAAAAACGAACGAACAAACGAAAATTGTCGCATCGCCACTGTCGTCATGTGCCACATATAACATAACGTAGACGTAACACACCATGAAATAATGACAAACCGTGGCCGATGGCCATCCATCGTATGAAAAATACATTTGGGAAACACAGAGGAACACAAAAATAAAAATAACAAAAGCACTCTCTTTCGCTCGCATGAAATTCGGTAAAAAAAAAAGAATCAAAATTAGCGCAGCTGATGGCAGAGAGCGTCAGTGGCAAAGAGAACAAAAGAGAAACGGAAAAATGTAATATATAAACGAATTCCGCGCAAATATTATCAGAACATTTCTTTATTATATTTACTTATCAATTCCATTGTATTAATATCGAAATTTTGGCATTTCTTCTCGTCTTGGCGTTACTTTTCGTTCCTTCTCGGTGTTGTTTTGTTGTGTATCGCTTTGTTGTTTCGCTAAGACGCCAATGGTGCCCACACGCTGAGCAAGAATAATAAACACGAATAAAAATCAACACGCTCGTACTGTTTTTGTTTCTGTTTTTAGTCAAAAAGAGAAAAGATCAAAAGGAAAAACTAAATGGGACAAAAAGCCCGTGAAAAACAAAGAAAAACGGCCACGCTCGCGTTTGTCCGTACGGCACGAGAACGTAAAATATGTGCGTGAGTGGAAAATATTTCATTAGATAATGCATGGTGCGGACACAATCGAGCATATTGTCGTGTATTGAAGCATAAGTCAATGTTCAACAGCCAAATATAAATGCCGTATGTTGTTCATATTATCGACGGTGCGATGAAAGCTACCGACAACACACAACAACAACCGAGGAAAAGGGAAGAAACAGAAACAAACGCACAACAACGGGCAAAGATCGAGAGAAAGAGAGAAAACTCACTTTACTAGACGACATTTTCGAGTAATAAACGTAAAATGTTGCTGATGTTTTTATGACACTGTATTGACAATACAATAAATTCCGTCGTTCCGGTATTCGCATTCATTTTTCCCATGCTCGCACATCGAAACAGAAACACATTTTCATTTGACAGTTAGACTGAATTAGTTAATGATTTTCCCGTAATTTCGGGCCCCAGAGACGACCGAAGTTTTTCTCTCTCTCTTCATTTCTGTTTTTTTTTTCGTTCAAGGGGTTTTGGTAATTTTGTGCTGGCCAAGCTTAGTGCCAATCAACATTTGACGGCATTAATTTTCGGCTGACAAATTTGATAAAATGCGATGACGTCAACATGCTCCGAAGAAAATATTACATTTTCGTCCCGGCAAATGTACGTACATTTTTCTTCGTTTGTCCAGCATTTGAAATGCGAAAGTTTATTGCGATTCCGGGACACGAGTGAAGTTCACAAGAGCTGAAATTGAATTGCAACTTCTCTTCGTTGCGTTTAGCACACGGTTTGCGTTTGCAAAGGGAGTTTTCGCTTTGTTTTGTTTCATTTTTTCTCAAGTGTTTTTCTTAAGCATTTTGTTGATTCTTTTTCATCTTTCGTTATCTTGAGTTTTCTATTTATTTTTTTCCATCGCAATTTTTCTACCTCCAAGTGAATTTGTTTTCTCGACTTTTTTTTTGCTTCACATTACTTTTCTCTTGACACACATACACACACAGAAATTTCAATGAAATAAACGTATTGAAGGAGAAAAATATTTTTCCAGCTTTGACTTTTTCCGAAAAGAAATAATATCGACTTTGAAAGTATGCTTCGGTAAGCACGCGTGCAAAGTATCGAGTCGAAGATTTCAATTTTCTTTTGAATGTCAAGTCGGAGTTGAAAATCCAAAATCGAAACTAACTGCTGGAAATTGAAAATTTTATTATGTAATTACCGAATTTTTACTTTTTTCAAAAAAATCCAACAGCTCACTTATAACCTACACACATACAATGGATGAAAAAGCACAAAAACCGAGAGCAGCCACAAAAATGTGTCGACGAAATTCTCCTGCCATGGAAATTGGAATCATATACATGGAACAAAATAAAGTAGGACAGGAACACTTACCAAAAGCATATTTAATTCCACGATGGCAAAAAATCTGCAAAGAATACAAGAAAATATGGGACAATTAGATGGAGTACAAAAGAGAGCTGTTTATTTATCATTTTGTCGGGTTAGGAATTTAAGAAATCTTCAAGTTGCTCGAACAACTGTATGGAAGATGTATTTTGTTGCATAAATGCACTTCATTCCATGCAAATGAGAAATAAAGCGTCCAAATGTCAACGCATTTTCATAATTCTATTCTCATTTGCCGTTGAGCGTGAGAGAGTGAGATGCGAATGGCAACTCCGACAAGGCAGAACAATGGGACACTACTTATTATTGTGCTAGCAGAATTTGAAATGCGACACTAGCAATTTGTTGTGTTTTGTTGCTATTCTTTCTGTTGTGTTGCCTGCATTTGTGTGTCGTACCATTATGGTGCATGAACATTGTTGTAAATGGTGAAGTAATGCGTTCGGTTGCAATAACAAAGCCAAGCGCAGGGAAAAAAGAGGAAAAAAGAACGCGCACACATACACACACCGAACTGAAAGTCAGCAAAGTAAAAAGACAAAAACTAGCATTTACAATCATTTACATAAAAGTTGTTAGAGCGCAAAACATGGCAAAATGCATTCTCTTTTTGGCTGTTTTTTTTGGTTATGACGCGACAGTTATTTGGTTGCTGCCGAACAATAGTTGTTAAGTTCAAATTATAAGCATCCCATTTGTCTCTGGCATGTTCCGCGCGATGTTATCACGCGCGCTCACTGCCAAAAACGAACGTTCGGCGTAAAGAGCCATAAATCGGATGGGCTGCTGTGAAAGTGCAAATCTGATTACACAGTCGAAATTCTCTCTTCTGCGTTTTGCCGCTTTTTCGATGACCGAAGACACACGATGCACAAAGCAATGTAATGAGCTTATTGAAAATGACAATGGAAAAATCCATTGTTCAAATAAAAGCAGCAACACTTCATTACATTGTGATGCAGCAGAAATAAGAGAGACCCACTTGGGGAAAAATGCACCAAACTATCTTCCATTCGTCGATTTATCTGCGAGAATCTATTTCTGATTTTCCGTTAAAAGATGTACATTGTACGGATTCTATTTCACAGCTGAGAGCGCGTTTCCCTGCATTCATGCATCGATATGGTTTGGCTATTGAGGAGATCCGGTGCTCGTTCAATATGCGAAGTTGTCGCAATATTTTCTAATATGTGTGGAAGTGGCTGGGCGAAATTAAAAACTTTAGCGGGAAAAAAATGTGCACCGGGGAAATGGAATAAAATAAATATTGGGAATTGTGTATTTCGTGCACGATTGAAGTCATTGCTGTCGGTTCGCGAACTTAGAGCGTTAAATCTAGAAAAATGGCAGTGATATACTACAGCAAACGAGAATCGTATAAGTGTTTTTTTCACTCTGTTTGTATGTTTGTGTTCGAATGAAAAAAAAAAGAAAACCTCGATATATTTTTTTCGTGTGCTTACTCTCCCCTATCTGTCTTCCTCTCCATTCATAGGCAACCCATTTCCGAGCGTTGGCACAGTTTGAAGGTTGAGAATTGTGTAAATCGCTAAAAAAAATGGCCATTCAGTAGTAGTTCAAGTCAATTTTTCTTCTCTCGCCTATTGTCGGAATGTAAATGCGAATTGAAGCGCCATATTAGCAGTGTTGTGTGCATTTTGCACCCATCTGCATTGTTCACATGGCGCGCGCAACACACAACTCACGGCCAAAGAAGAGAAAGAGAGAGAGAGAAAAAAATAAACGTTATTCTGCATACGTGACTCTTATGTATTTTCACTAAAGCTTAATTTATCACCGGTTTTCAAATTGGGCCAGAAAAACCAGATACACACACACACACACACACAAACATGGGTAGCATCGCAATGTTTGTACAGTGGAAAAATTCGGTGGCACACGAATTTATTGCCCGCAACGCGAACCATCAAACACAAGGAATACGGAATGTCCAACCGCATAAATATGGTCGTTCACTGTGAATATGCGAATAGTGTCACTGAGTACAAATTTCCCGATGATTTTTCGCATACACACAGACGCAAACACATGCCACTGTACACTACCGAGTTACTTGAAGAAACAACATTTATTTGTGCTATTTGCATGACATTTCTACATGCATTTATTTATCTTCCAGAGAGTCAAAGTAATACACACTGTATTTGCATTTTACACGTACGCTTGAGACGAAGATATCGCAGTATTCTGGACGATAATATCGCTGTGGGCTGTTTGAAGAGTTTTTTGTGGAGGGGCGGGAAAAAGCGACGTAGTCCAATATTGCAATTGCTGCGAATTCACATGTCGACTTTCGTGTAGCTTTGAATCCGATTTCTGTCCCAAGGCAGACAAAACTTCCACATAGACAAGAAATATGTATATTTCATTTCCGTAGAAAACGCATCAATTTAGAACATTGGAATTCTGCATTGTTTTCATTTCGACAATAAACTATCCATTTCATTACCTTCAACATCGGGACAAAATAGTGGTCGGTTCAGACTGTGTACGCAAAATGACGGGATTTTCATATTTCGAATGCATGGAAAATTATTTAGCAAATATTCCAAGCACTTATCAGTCCGATGGATGGATTTCCAAGTCAAATGCCAACAACCAAAAAAAAAACGAGCTGAAGAATGAATATCATAAGAGCGAAGAAAGCAGAGAAAGAGATGCAAAAGGGACGAAGTAATGCCAGAGTGTATGTAAATAAACTGTTCGCATACTTTCAAGCACGCGTGTTCACTAAAAAAGATGTGTTTATTTCGCTGATATTTCAAATATTTACCAAAAATGCTATCTTCTATATGTAGAGTATATCTAGTTTTCCAAGTCTTAAAGAGCATTGAAGGCAATACGATTTTCGGTGCTATTTTTTTTCTCTGCCGTTCTTTTTCTCCTTCAGCAAAGCAGCTTAAACCACTGAATCGATGAATACGACAGCATATTTTGAATGTCAAAGAATGTGATGGAATTGCGTCGTTACGATGCTTCATATACATGTACATATGATTCATAAATTTATTTATTTTTCCGTCGTCTTCTTCAAGGAAATGTAATTGGCTGTTCACAAGCAGCATACTGTGCCATATTTTCCAACATAGCACAATCAAAATAACATCGTAAACATTGCAAGTACAACGAATGCAAGACCAAAGCTATGCGAAACAATAAGAATAAGTGTTTATTGTGAAAAGCAAAAAAAAAAAAAAAAGACGACGGCGACGAAAACGAAAACAGCTCGGCTGAATTTTATGACATCAAACGCATAATACGTTGAAATAAAAATTGTATAGCGCTTGTTTTCCATTTCGTCTCTCTGTTGTACTCCAACCGAAACGAAACAAATGGCAAAAAAAAAGAACTGTGATACGGATTGAAATCGCTTGGAATGGGATTGTAAGTGGGGCAAGTACAATACGGAGAATGAGCACAATATAAATATTTCAATGCAAATGCATCATGTGTAAACGCTTATTAATAATGTGCGCTGAATTGCACTGGAATCGGACATTGTTATTGTTTGTTGCAAAATAGTGGCTGCGTCTGCATTTGCTCTTGCATGCACTCTCACTCCGACGCGAGTATATCGTTTGCAGGCCATAGCTGCAGCTAGCCGATAGCAAACACACAACATTCGATTGCAACTAAAGAAACAGTCACCCTACCCCGTTTCGAATGTGCTGCTGTTCTATAATAATTTAAAAAATATGTTAAATTACATTTTGATTTATTTACAAATGGCATGGAGGAGCTACTACTGTTCGGATCGAGTGTTTCATGTTTTCGCATTTCGGAATTATTATTATTTTGTAAGATGTAATAAAATTTTATAACTTCGTTCTTGGAATATAATCCAGCCGCTGGGCAATTTCATAAGTATGTTCACTCGGCGTGTTTGTGTGTGTGTGCTAACCGGTAAGATGCTCTTATCTCGTGCCTGTTTCTCTTACTCGCCATGAAAACTTACTTTGCACCAAATATAAATAATTTAATTTTTTTTATGAGCAATTTGAAGCGCACTTCATGGGTGGCAAATACAAAAAGAAGGAGAAAGGGAGAGAAGAAGGCCATTATAATTGAAGGAATAGAATCAGCTCACAATTATTACACCTTATGCGCGTTCATCCACTTTGAACCTATCAAAAAGATTCATGTGATCTTGTTAACTAGATGCACATTATCACGTTCACATATTCAATTTTCCGCTGAAAACCGTTTGATAGCATAACACATGAATCGACGTCGTCATCGTCGACGTGTGGAATAGCTAACCAGTGTTGTACATTAGAAGCAAGGGAATGTCACTCACTCAACACGGACATAATTACATTTGAATTTGGCGAATCGGTTTTCGGGGATGGATCGTGAAGTGCTTGAAAATGATTTACGCAACGCTTGAAAGTGAATCAATCGCTTAACACCATATTCATGTATGAATTATTGATGGGGAAATGATGATTTCATTTCGACCACGCATGAAGCACACGGCTCACACACATAATGTCATTTCGACACATTTCCATATGTTTTCAACATCGAACCCGTACATTAAACACAAATTTCTAATACTCAAAGACCAAATTATGGACATTTCAATAATATGATATTTTCGCTTCTGCACACCACAGCCGCTTCAGCAGTATATGAATGTATACAAATAAAAATGGTATCACGCACATCGCACCTCATATCACATTAGTGATATTCATCATTTTAAATGCGATTGAAAGAGAGCTTAATGGAATTTCCAATGCCGTAAAGCATATAGCAAGCGAGGCGAGCACACCGATTTTTTTCCCTAGTAATTGGGTTAACCGTGTTTGCGTTGTATGTGGCCAATATCAAGAGAAAGTGCAATCATGCCCATGCCCATGCAAATGTATCGAATTTATATTAAATAATTTCAATCCCAGCAAAATAACGCCCAAAATACAATTATGAATTATGATTGCGAATCGCATACCAGTGTATGTATGTGTGCCGATGTGTGCTGTTTGGTTTTGGCCGCGA